GCAGTATCATATAATACACACATACATACATACATACATACATACATATATATATAAACTGAGCTCATGTGCTCCAATTTTGATGGGTTTTGGTGAGATCAGGTAAATGAATGGTGATGAAAGAGATGATGAGGCATGTTCAATAAAGTCTTCAGTGAACAAAACCACTACTTGTCACGCGCTTATTAAGTAGAGTCACAATAATTCTTTGGCCAAAACTATGAATCCATCATTAGGATATCTGAAATTGGTATGTTTTCTGTCCGGAAAGTATTACCATATTTCAGAAGGCTATTTATCATCAGCCCTCAAATGTGACACATGGGGATGAATCAAAGATTTTGGAGGAACAGGATACTTAAAAATTCTTCTTTCTCGGCAAATTATTATATAAAATGCTACATCTAAAATAGTTTCCCATTTTTAAATGTTGAAAGATTATTTATAAGTTAAAGTCAACCTTATTTTAAAGAAAAATAAAGGCTGTTACTCAGCTTGAAAAGAAACCCAAGCTAAAGAGTACAAGCAACTTCTTTTTTTCAGAATTCATGTCAGGATGCAAAAGGCCTATGTGAATGAATACAAAATCACGACATTAGAATTAAAAATACTATAAACAGCAAATGTGGCACAGGATGATCAAGGATGTGATTTGGGACCCATGTTCCCCTCATGATGCTTCAAAGTGAGGTCTCTGACCTGTAAATCCCCAGTCCTTTCTAAAAAAAAGCGAAGGGTGCCACTTCAGCATCTCAAAAACCTAAAACAAAACATAGCCATTCTACTCCTGTTTCCAGTGGGCTGCATGGAGCGGGTTGCACTTTTGAGATTTCGTTATCAGTCTGTAACAGGGGCATGTAAGTGGCTGACACTAGAAAACCCCCTTTCCTCAGTGATCATTAGCAGCACCACTTCCAGATGATGTTTCTAAAAGATTCCCGAAAGTGTCATAATTCAGCTGTCACAGTCTTGTGATGTATGAATGTTCTATTTTTCACATAAAAACTCCTGTATACAAATCTTAGAGATAATTTTAGAAGTGTAAGGTTTACAATAGCTTTCCTAGGGTTCATAGATTATGATTTTATGTGTCAAGCACTGCATCGAAGTTTCTACACTTAGAATGTCATCATGTTAATAGTTTAATTGGACACAAATTGCTGTGGTATTTAGATGACTCTCACCTTATTTTAGAAAAGCAGGGCAGCCTAATATTTTTTTTAAGTATGTGTTCTCACAGGCCCTTCTAAAAGGCTGAATCATCATCCATACACCCTCAACACTGGAGTAGAATAGCACTATTGACTAAATATTTACTTTGTATGAGCAAAGCAGTAAGTTCTTTGTACTGTCTCTCCCCCTTTTTTTTTTTTTTTTTTTTAAGATTTATTTATTTATTATGTATACAGAAGAGGGCGCCAGATCTCATTACCGATGGTTGGGAGCCACCATGTGGTTGCTGGGAATTGAACTCAGGACCTCTGGAAGAGCAGTCAGTGTTCTTAACCTCTGAGCCATCTCTCCAGCCCCCATGCAAAGTTGGGTTTTTTTTGTTTTTTTTTTGGGTTTTTTCGAGACAGGGTTTCTCTGTGTAGCTTTGCGCCTTTCCTGGAACTCACTTGGTGGTCCAGGCTGGCCTTGAACTCACAGAGATCCGCCTGGCTCTGCCTCCCGAGTGCTGGGATTAAAGGCGTGCGCCACCACCGCCGGCCCTCCCCTTTCTTTAAATAATGTTGTGTTTATGCTTCTCTTTATAGAACAACAAGGTAGATTTCAGGATCAGGACCAAGATGCACCAATGCTATACGACGCTGTACTTCAGAATGTGTCTGTAGCAAGCAAATCATCTCAGATGAAAAAATGCAGAAACAGACACTCGGTGTTTTGCTGTACAAGGTTAGGGTGGAAGGATATCCTAATGGCTACTTCAGGGTTCATACTAAATGTGACAAAGTAATAGCTCATATTCATGAAACACTTGAAAAATTATAGGAAAAAAAGCATGTTTAAGGTATTTGTGAATGATTTCTTAAAATTGAGTATTTACATTTTTATTGTAGTTACAAGGTCAAAGGATGCTAGAGTAATAATTACATTTTTGAAAATTTCAATTTTGAAGTAACTGTAGGTTTCCAAGACAATGCATAAAAACAGAATATTATTTTTGCCCTGGCAGCTCTGCTTAATTATAAGGATAATCTCACCCTTTCCCTGTAAACTCAGTCCCTCCTATTTGGTCACTGAAATCTTTGAAACCTTGGCTTTGCTTTTTGGTAGATGATTGAACTGGGAAAATTGTTAAACTCCTTTGTTCTGTGTTTCCTTAGCATTCAATAAACAATACTATCTACATTCTAATATTATTCTGTTACCTTTAAATAGTTATATAAGGAACTCAACACAGTGTTTAGAGCATACATTATCCAAACACTGTGAGAATCAATATAACTCAAAATCTGACCCATCACAAATATAGATTAAGATTTTAGTACCATTGGAAGAAGTCCCAATGTTACCTGTGATGCAATGGCAGGGTGATTCATCGATTAACTCAGACGTGTTTACCTGATATTCTTGACTTAATTCTTCACCAGTTGTTTGATCCATTTCTATATCCTCATAGGATTTCCCCCCCTTTTGAAGACTGGAAATCATAAAAAAGAAAACCCTGTCCATAACAGCTGCATTGAGGTCATTTACATTTGTTGGTTGCAGGTGGAAATCTCCTTCACAGAGCCCTAAATAGAAGGTTGTAAAATGTGGCCTTTGAGGGAGCCAGACTATACCAGCCTTTTGTATAATTTATCATCCACAGAACATGTTAAGGTTCTTTTGATCTTTGACAGCAATATCTTTCAAAGCGATGTGGTGCTTATGTGTAGCCATCAGGTTTTTTTTTGGGGGGGGGGAGGTTGTTTTTGTTTTTGTTTTTTTTTTTAATCTAGTATCTTGCTGTTTTCAATGATGGGTAGAAGGAATATTCAAGATGGTACAATGATGGTTCAATTTAATTGAGAGAACTCAGGTCTTATGGCAGTCCAACTGTGAAGGTTTATTGAGAGTAGGTATGTGGATGGTGCTTTGAAAAAACACATCACACTAATCAGATATGAAGCATTTTTGTAGGTTCATTTCTATCATGCCATATCTGTCAAATTTTGACTCCACCAACTTTTCAATATTAATTTCCTTTTGTTAAATTTAGGTCTTACTAAATATCAATGATAAGTGGTGTTAAGATTGCTAGTCACACTCTCTTTGTATTTTCATATGCTCTGTTAAGGAATATATCACAGACACAGAAAAACTGGGTGTCATTTAGAATATTGTGGAAACGTACTGGCTTCCATTTGCGGAGACTTGAAGTTCTTCCACCCTCTGCTATTTTATCCCTGCCACTTTGCTCTGCTTCATTCCTTTCCTTCTCCTCCTCCCCCACATTTGGTTTTGTGCTTCAGATTCAGAGAAATCCCAAAGTCAAAACAAAATGGTCAGAACTGCTGATTCCTGTTCTGTAACCATTTTTTTTTAAAATCCAGTATTCACAGGAAGAGATGGTGCTGTCCAGACGTGGGTCTGAATTCTCTTAAAATACTGGCAAAGTTCAAGAAAACTGAATGAATGTGAGCCAAGCTATAGATATCTAGAAAAAGCATTAACAAATATTATTTAACAAAATAGTCTCGACTTTAAACCATCTGTGGAATAGTTAACATTTAATAAGTTTCTGCTGTATCTATTTGGTAAAAATAAAATAGTGATCTAATTTATATTTTTTGAGTGGATCCTATGCATTTTAACATGTAGGTACATTTTGACACAACATATGTAAAATGTAGCTTTGGCTTCATTGCATTTGAAGTTCCTCTTGAAGATCTGTCATTAGAAGAAAAGGTGCCTTAAGATTTTGCTCATTAAATTGAATCTCAGTGTTTTTAGAACTTCATTATAAACTTTCTATGAAGTATTTTTCTTAATGGAAATGCTGACACATATGATAATGGACACCAGTGCAACGGTCTGAACTGTATGTTCATGCACAGCTTGAATATTTGGTTTGATTTTTAGTGCTAATTTTGCCAGAATCTGCCTTTGAGCTGGGTATCGAACAGTAAGGCTGCTCAGTCTGAACATTTCTCTGTTGATGGAAAAGCCTCTTGATTAGTTTTACTTTTCTTGGAAAGCTTAATTATGTCTTTCAAATATGATTTCGTTTAGATCTTTTTATGGTTAACATGTCTGAATACTAATAGTAATCTGATATTCATGGAGAACTGAGCTTGAGACCAAAAGTCAGTTTTTAGTCTGTAGAGGGTATATGAATAAATTGCCTCCAAGCAACATCTACAATGATATTTAGATTCAAAATGATTAAATAACTTTAAGATTTAAAAAAACAATTATTGCAGTATTTTAGAACTGACACCATTAGGCCCTTTTAAGCTAGTAGGAATTATTAAGACCCAATGTCCTATGATATTTCATTAATGTTAATGTAGGTAATAAAAAATAAAGCAATTTTGACATACTGTGTGTCCATAGCATACCAATGAAGTTTTTGTTGAAAGTACGTTGGCTGTGAATATCATACACAGAGAAAACCAAAATAAGAGCACATTGTTTGGACATTTAGAGAGTCCACACATGGTGGCATATGGGTTTTAATGTTGGGCTATGGATAATTTTGTCATATCTCTAAGGATGATTTGGTATTACGATTAAGTCATTCCATTTCTCAGAGTCTGTGATCATTACAAGGGTTTAAACAATATCATCAGCATAGTGATTATGAAATGCTTTGAAAGACATTTTCTTTGAGGACATCTAGAAATCTACAAAGAGCAAATACTTATAAAATGTAATGGTTTAAGTAATAGTAGATTAATTCTTTTAGTAATAATGAGAAATGGCTTTCAATTTAGAAGTTTGTTGGTACCATTTACTTCTGAAGAGAAATTCTACATAGGAATAGCATGGGTTTGCTATGATCATAGCAGAGAGTGTTAGAATAGCAGAAATGATTAAGTGAAGTGTGATGGTTGACTGTACTCATTAAGACCCAATGGTGTTGATGACATTTACACTACGCAGGATTTCCCCCTTCCTCTGGAAGTAAATTTTTTTTAACAACACATAAAATTTTGAATTCTGTATATCTTTTTACTTATTCAACACTCATAGATTTTTCTCTATTTATTTATTGTATTCCTTTATGTGTATGGATGTTCTGTTTGTGTGTCGTGTGCATGTAGTGTCCAGGGAGGCCAGAAGAGGGTGTCAGGTCTCCTGGAACTGGACCTCCAGTTGTGACCACCATGTGGGTACTGGGAATGGGACTTTATGAGTAGCAGACAGTGTTCTTAACCACTGGACTATCTCTCCAGCCTCAGACTTTATATAAAAAAGTGGTATTTATTCCCCAGAAGGACCTGAATGAATAATATTCTATAGGCTCTTCAATTTTGAACCTATCCACATGATCTGTAAAAAAGTCAACATTTGATTAAACAAATAAATAATAGAATAGTTAAGTATGGGTATTTATTAACCCAGTAGATCATATGAACAATACTGTATGATGAGCTGAGAAATAACTAGCAATTTCCTTTCACATATTAAAATGAGTAATTACAAAAGTATCTTAAAACATTCACTAGCCTTGGTAATGAAAGCATTACAAAGAGGAACTTAAGAACATTACTTTATAAATGCAATATAAAGTTATTTTTCAAGACTCATTTCATTTTAGAACTGCTGAGAATTAAACCCAGGGCCTTGTATGTTCTAGGCAAGCACTCTACTACCGAGCTATTACCTCAGCCTTTGACTCAGTTCATTTCAATAAAGGTTCTAGAGCATTAGAAAAACTACTCTCCCTGGTTTTGTTACTGTTTGGCTTAGCTATTTATAGTTTTTCTCTTCTCAGTGTATTCTAACATTCTCGTAGCAGAGGTAGAAAACACCTGGAGGAAAGACATAGTTAAAAGGCTATTGGGAAAGGGGGCTAATTGCAGATCTTACCTAGTCCCAGGGGAAGAAATAGAAGGAAAGGCCTTAAAAAATTTCAGCATGAATAACACTTAACTGCATATAAATAGCACAAAATATGCAACACTACATTAAATGTGACTAAAAAAGTTGTACTACTACTTAGTAGATTGTATTTCATAATATAGTATCAATGATATTAGACACACATTGATGCTAAATTTATGTATTCTATTTTTAAAGTTCTTTTACAGAATTTTTAATCCACTTCTAGCTACATCTCCATTATCCATGTAAAGATGCGATGAAACATAATTCTAAATGTGAATTAATATCCGTGTCTGGACTTCTTGCCTTTCAAGCCTTGTTCAACTATTCTTGAAAGCCCAGAAGATAACTTTTCAAGTATATTCAGCTAAAAAAATGGAGTGTATTGAAACAAAATGAAAAAAGCAACAATGAAGCAATTATTATTCACTAAAATAGAGTAATATTTAAGTGGTTATGACTTATTGACATATATGATCCGTCAGTCTATTTCTCATCTTATTCATATAGCATCAGGAACATAATTTAAGGCTGTTTTCTGTCATATAGCTCCCAGGGATGCCAGTATCTATCTCAAAGGTAAAATGAGTGCAGTTAGTACATTACATTTGGTAGCTTTGTATGGCTTTGTGCTTTAGTTTATGTAAGTGCTCAAAAATACTTGAGCCTTAATATCAACCTCAGAAACGTAGAGTAAGCTTTCTTTAGATGTGTATATAACCACCATGAGAATCAAAGAGAATTAAATGTACTATTAAAAGAATGAAAAGCTCCCTTGGGAAAAAACATTCTAGGTGCCATCAGGAGGTGCTCCTGCAGTGTAGCTGAAATGGAATGCAAACTGACAGAGCCCGGGAGAATTCTGCCCATTTGTGTACTGTAAGGACTGTAAGGTCTAACACCAGGTGATTATAACAGAGAAGATATTTGTAAGAACACTGTTTGCAATGTTACCATTTTTGAAAAAAAGGAAGTGCTGAGCTAGCCATCTGTAGAGGAATGAGATTATGTTATGATACATTGGCATGGCAGTAATATGTAGTAATGGAAATCCCCTCTAGTATTTAAAGTGAATGAAATGCTCATTCTGTAATTCTAACTGAGAAAAATCAATGTCCAAAGCATCCCGTATTTGTTACATATATTGAATTTCTAACTTCATAGGAAATAAAAGAACAGAAGGAAATAGATGAAGATTCTAGTAGCAGTGGGGGCTCATTTAAATGCTCATTCTTAAGTTTTTTAAACCTACATTTTGCAGTCTCTCTAGGATGAGCATACGTAACATTCCCATGTTATTAGTATTCGAGGATCACCGAGCATTGCACTGTGCAAGCTTGCTATGACTTCATTTTGCTAGTGCATACTTGTGGGGTGAAACCAGGCATTTTTTTTTTTCCTTTGGGATTTCATTGGCGTGAATGGATTGACAATTATGTGCTCCAGCTCCTCCGTCCCTTTCTTCACCTACTCACATCTGTCATAAAGAACCAGCTTCAGGTGCTACCAAGTCACTCTGAAAGAAAAACTGTGGAATAACAGAGGGTCCGGGAAGGTAGCTTCCCAGAACAAACCGGTTTCAATTTCACCTCCACCTGCAGGCATTTTCAAAGCATTAAAACGCATCTCTCCTTTCGGCTTTTTGCCTTCCCAATAGTCCCTAGACGGCTTAAGACTGAAAGAAACTTTCCTACCCACGGTTTAAGACTGTTTTTCAGGCATGCAGGGTTACTCGGGCCCTTTCCCCTAGGAGACTGTCAGAAGCGCTAACCCCAAGGCCGCCGAGCGTGGGAAGTGCACCCAGCAGGAGGATCCCTCCCCCACCTCTCCCACCCCAAGCAGGAGCGGCAGGAACAGAGTTTAATTCTGAGCAAACGGCAGCATGGCGATTTTCACTGAATGAGCTGCTTTTAACTCTTGAGACATTCTGCCTTGTGACAAGGTAGTCGGGTTCGCCTGACCGCAAGATGGGGGTCACAGCACCCGGGATTGGGAAGGGGGCGAGGGAGCGAGAGCGACCTTTCTCAGAGGTTGCATTTGTGAATTGGTCTAGTGACCTTACTCCCTACTTCCCTCCCGTCCTCTTTGCCTCCCCCTCCCCCTAACTAGTCTGAGAGTATCGAGCCCCCGCAGAGTTTTCAGAACCCAGGAAGGTCGCTCCTGGTCTCGGCTTGAGGGGAGTTCACCCTCTCTGGCCACAGTGAAGCCCCTGCTGGAGATGGCGACGGGGCAGCAACGAATCGTGCGTGAGAAAAAGTTCTATTTTATTATTTCTACTTCTGAAAGGAGCAAGGAGGAGAGATCTCTAGGGAAGCTCAGAAAAGTTCTTTGGAGGAGTAGACCAGTTTCCCGCCCGCTCCAAGCAGAAGCTCTAGCACCTTGACAGAGGGAATCCCAACTTTCTCAGATGAACCCTACGGTTGTGCGTGATTCCCAAAAAATTGGCCGCAGAGCTGCCACGAGTGCGAATTTAACTATCTCAAACCCAGACTCAGAAGGCCAGCATTCCCTCTGCCCTTCAATCGCTACCCTCCAAGCAAGGGGGATGGTCCTCTTCGGCTCTCCCCTCCACGCTTAGCCGGCCTCCTTTTTCTCGCTGCTCTGCAGGAGCTCCGTCATGAAGGAAATATAGACAATGGCCAAGCGGAGGGTCTCGATCCTAGACAGCCTCTTCTCATAAGCAAAGGTGGGCACCTTCCTGCGCAACCGGTCAAAGGCCTCGTTCAGGTTGAACATCCTCTTCCTTTCCCGAATGTTGGCTGCCTGGCGCTGGGCGTAGGTGATGATCCTTTTCCTTTTGGGGCGGCCCAGCAAGGATGCTACTCTCTCGCGTCCCTCTCCCTCCTCTTCCTCGTCCTCCCGGTCCTCATAGACCACTTCGCCCACCTCTTCCTCCTGGTCTGTTTCCTCAAATTGCGACAGCCTCCTGGGTCTTCTCTCTCTGAACCCCAGTGTCCGGTCCCCAAAAGGGTCCCCAGGTGGGAAGTCGCAGAGAAGAGGGTGTCTCGGAGAGGCCAAAGAGAGATCTGCGACAAAGTTCAGCATGGTAGCGTCCAAGCAGCTCTCAGGATAGGCGGCCATCGCTCAGTGTCTGTGTCATCGATTTTCCAGCAGGAAGGGTACAGCTGCGGATGAGGCTTCTTACTGGCCTTGACTCTTTTGGCGCATCATCACCAAACGCAGGGAGACATTAGTATTTATAACCAACAGAAAGGATTATTCTCAGGGAGAGGGAAGGCTAGGGCAACGTCCCTTTTCTGGAAGCTGATAGGAGATGACAAGCTTGAGCACTCATGGAAGGCTCAAGGCAACAGGCTTTCAGGCTCTAAGAACGCTTTGCCCCTGCTGCACCATGCAGGGCAGTTCCTTCTTGGCAGCAACCCCCAGTTCTTACCTGCTGTGCTTTTTTGTGTCTGGTCTCATCCTTGTATCCAACCAATGTTCGTTCTCCTGGTTCCTTATCCCATATAGGTCTTTAATTTCGGTTTGGAACTTCAAAGCCCAAATCTTTCCACTGCGATGGTTTCTCCTTGGCTTCAGGGTAGGAGTCCTGAATCTTGCCGCCATTTGCCAATGGATGTGAAACAAGTGCATGCGCTTTTAATGATGTCCAGAAGAGGGGCCCTTCCAGCCAGGGGTCGAGGGAAGCTGTTTGTCTGGTATCCCAGTGCAGCGGCTGCTGAAAGGCAAGACCTTCCATTAGCTTAAGTAATCATGGCCAGGGGGCCCGGCTGCATTCCCCAGTGTCTCTGTTGGAACCGGTGTTTTCTCCTTCCAGGGCATCGCAAACAACTCACTGCCTGGTTACAGACCCTGACTTCTAAAGTCGGATTGGACACAATCAGCCTGACAACTGAGATACTTGACTTTACTCTCCCTGGCCTTATCCTCTACAGTGGAGAGTTGTATTTGAGGGAAAAGGTTATGGTGACAATGAAATAAAAAATGGAGACTCGGAACACTTATGCATATGCCTTTACTGTATATTACTCCTTAAGGGACAAAGCAACACCCTTGGTCCGGTGTATGTCCCCCTTCCTCCTGAACCCACAAGCCTCCTTTGAAAAATACGATTTAGCTTCAATAATCTAGAGAACAGCTAACCCTCTGCTGAGGATCCAGTCTTCGGACTTTCAAATTGCCAATCAAGTATTTGTTCTTGAACAAAGAAAAATCCAACACTTTGATCTGTGCGACTCCTCTTTGGTTGGCCTCCACAGTAGGGTTTAAGAGGGAAAGCAATACCTTACTGAATTCTTCTTAAGGGGAAGTTAGAGGCTACCCACAGAAATAGAAGAGATTGTAAATTTGATATACTAAGAATGATTTGTGTGTATCCCGAATCTTCACACAGAAAGCCTATTTTCCAATTTTTGGTTTACTGATGGCTGTAGTTAATCACGCAGTGTGTAGAAATCTGTGAAAACAACCACGCTGAAAAACAATTTTAAAGGTAGATCAGAAGAAACAGCAGGAAATATGTAAATGGAGACTGATTTCAGAGAGAATCAGGAATGACATAGGTTCTTTTTAAAGGGTACATTTTTTTTTTAACTAGGTACATTGGACAGCTCCCAGACCCACCCATTTCCAACCAGCGTACTTCGGCTCCTACCTCCCCTTCCAGTGTGTAACCAAAGCTAGAGTTTCTAGTGTGCACAGCAGGGTGATTATAGACAACAGTAATATTAAAAGAAAAGTTTTCAGTTTCCACCACAAAATGTAAACAAATTCTTAAAGAGATAACATGCTTAGCATGGTTTAAATGTTAGCATATACATGTACAGGGTCACTACATGCTACTTTCTCAGTATTCCCAGGTCTTACGCCATTATATACCTTTTAAAATACTTTTTTAAAAGGCAGCATAATCTTTAATTCTTTTTGTTTGTTTTCATTGATCTCCAGATCCAGGCTCTGCTTCAAAGATTTCCCTCTTGTTTGAATTTACTCTTCATGCCCTTGATATTGTGATAATCCTGGTAAGAATGTAAGTTCCCCTGAGACATGCTAATGCGAAAAGGAGTTTTGTTATGATTGCCTACTTGGTTTATTCCTATTCTACTAAAGAGTGATTGAAAAAGAAAACATCAGGACAGACTGTGTAGCTCAACTGCTAGAGAGCTTCTCTCATACATAGGGATCCCTGGGCTTGATTCCCGGCACCACATAAACTGGATGTGGTGGTCCAAAGCTAAAACACTAGCATATGAGGGGTGGAAGCAGGGGAGTTAGAAGTCCAAGGTCATCCTCAGCTACATACTGAGCTGGAAGCCAGTTAGGGATACATGAGACCCAGAAGGAGGAGAAGGCATAGAAATACAACAGTGGTTAAGGAATCAGTAAATGAGACAAATGAGTTTCATATTGACAATTACATTCTTCTGATCCCTGCTTTACTTAACATGTTATTAAATATCTGTGTAAATTTGTGATTGACCTTTTATTGTCTATGAGTTTTCTTACAGTAATCATATATTACCCAAGAATGAATCAGTCCAAAGCAAAAACAGACTACTCAGTGAAAAGAAATACAACAAAAAATTCTACTTAAATGTAATGACACAGAGATCCAAAGCCATAATACAACTCCAAGGAGACTTTTTTTTCTCTAAAATTCAAGAGAATGACTATTTCAAAAATTATATAACATCCAGTACTGGGCTGAAACACTAGTATTAAAATGCTAGAAATTTGGAAAGCCATATATATATTTAAAGCAACAGTTTAAAATATTTTTCATTTTATCAATCCAAACTCAAGTGAAACTCTTGGTTTATGACACACTCGTTTATCTTGAGACTCTAATCATGCGGATACAATTAGTGTCTGAACATTAGGGATCTGTTATAGTGACTGATTTTTTTATATACAGTTATAAAGTGTACAAATCGACACAACGGGCTTTTCCTGCTTACTTTGAAATACTTTTAGAGACTGTGGATATGTGACCAACAGTAAATTTGCACAGTAGACTGTGAATTAATAAAAGGCTGAGTGATTTAAAATAGTTCATCCCACAGGAAAGAGTATTTCTATTTTATTTCAAGACTTTAAAGTTAATAAAGAAACATTAAATAAAACACCCTGACTGTTGCTGAAAAGAATCTAAATATACTAGGCTCAGTTCTCTGGGTTCTTGGAGTACAGTGAATATTGTTTTAAAAATCTATGTAAGGACTGCTGGAAGCTTTGCTCAGACTCCCTCAGGAGTCAACATGAAAATGAGTCAGTTTTGTTTGTGTACACACCTTATCTTTATTGAGCACCTCGAGAAAACATTTTATTTGTACTATTTTTGTAAATACAGTATCAAAGCGAAATTCAAGTGACCAAGCCGCTTGAACAATAATCTCAGGGGCAGAGAGACTTTTAAAATAGCAGTAAAGAAGGGAGATTGGAAACCATCTCCAGGGCTAAAGTAAACACAGAGTTCTCTGAAACTGGTACAAATTCCCCCTCCATCCTTTTTTATAGTCCCTTATATTCCTAACTGCTGTTCACTCAATAAATAGTCAAATGACAAGAAGTAGGACAAAGGGAAACATTTGTCCTGATGCCAGGAGAATGTTCTAAAAGCTGTTTTTCCTAGCTGTCATGGAGAAGAGTTGTGTGCCCCTTTCTATTCAATTTCAAATTTGCATCACTGAGGCTATAGCTGGTTTATAGGTAGACATGTTTATATATTTTTCTACTTATATTTTATGTAGTATATATTTACATTCTAGTTATATTTTATATTATCTAGTTATATATAAATATAGTATTCTAGTTATATAATATGTATTATATAACATTCCTAGTTATATTCTAGCTAATTATATTTAAAGTAAGCTTGCTTTGAAGTTTAGAATACATGCTTTAAAATTAATGAACTATATATGTATATGTTAATTACTTTTTAGGAAGTGAACATACTCGCGAAAACAGTGTCTGAACGACAAAATAAAGTTACTTTATTGAAGTTCCCCACAGTGTAAAGGGAAACGCCTTCACTGTTTACCAAATGAAGGCAACTGTGTCAGAAGTAATCAAGGCACACAGGATATTACAAGCATTTTGAAAGGCCTAGTCTACAGTCCTGTGCCTCAATCTAACCACTAATGACTTTGAGTATGAGTGTCTGACTTCTGAGAATAATTTAGCCAAATGTAGAATAGTAAATAAAAACAAATTATATTCTGCATATTTATTTATTCTGAAATTCATGTATTTTGTTCTCATTGCTGAATGGTATTTAGTTGTATGAACATTCCATCATTTATGGTTTCTACTGTTAGTGGACATATGGGATGTTGGGTGTTAAGTATTCATTACCAAGTTATTATCAATAGCAGTGAGATGGATGCTGTTATTCATCTTCTACTAGTATACTTAGTTATTCCTATCTGTCATACACTTAAAAGCCAAGAGACTGTGGTAAGGACAACCTCAGCAGTTATTGGTAAGTTAGTTTGCTAAAACAGTTGTAACAATTGATACTGTCACCAGTTATTGGAGTTCAAGTCTCATCATGGTAATATCAATTCTTTCCATTTCCTTTTTTAAAAATTAAAATTATTGGAAGATGTGTCTGAATAGTACACTGTAGTTGAATTGCATGTTTCTGGTGATAAATATAGCTGAACACTCCCATTGCTTACTTGGCTTCATGCATAAAGTACCGGTTTGGCTTTTGTTGTGGTGGATGGTGTTTTGTTGTTGCTTTTTAACTTCCTCCTTCTTTACTTACTTATTTGTTTATTTTTAAAGTCAATTTTAATGGGTTCTTTGTCAGATACTGCAAATATCCACTCACAATCCTATGGCCTTTTCCTCCCTTGTTGTGTTTCATTTTTTCTTTCTAAAAAGAAAGAACTGCTTTTGTGGTTTTATTTAAAAATGTCCATTTCCTCCCAGTGTTTGTAATAGTTACATAAACAAAAATTAAAATTAAACAAATCACACATTTTCAGGAGTGTGGCTCAATAGTGTTAAATATCTGGTCACAACCATTTCCAGAACGTTTTATCTTGAAAAATGAAAATAACTACACCCATTAAACAGTATTGCATTCCCTCCTAGCCCTAAGCTCTGACAATCACCATTCCACTTCCTGTCTGTGAATCTAATGCTCCAGGTTAAGAAGCTGAGCAGAGGGCAGATTGACTTCCTTTTAAATTTCACTGGAATCCTGTGTTCCACAGCATTCAGATCTATGCTTTCTTTCCTCCATGTGTGCTTGGTGATCAGCTACAGGAAACAAGGACCGTGTTCTCAGGAATTCCAGACTAGAGAAGTGTCTGGTGACTAGGCTGGGGGGTCAGCTGTGCACCTTTCCGTCTTCTCTAGCTGTTGTTAAGACCCTCCAATATAATGCAAGTCAAAATAATGTAAAGCTTCCTTACAATTCTGGTGTTGAAGAATTGGCGAGATTTTTCCTCAGTGGGGAAGAACTTAGGTTTTCCAGGCCACACAGTCTCTTTTTGCTGCCTCTTAACACGGAAACAAGAATACAACAGGCAAACGCACATCCGCAGGCATGGCTGCTGCTGTGGTCAGTGTCACGCAGCTCCTGAAGACTCGTGTGCGTAAGATTCTTCTCCGGCTGGGTACTTCTGAAAGGTAGCAGAAATTTTAAGAGGCAGAAAATTTGAGAGCTTATGGAAAGTTTTAGGTCATTAGGTATGTGGCCTTGAAGTGGATTCATGGGGGCTCCCATCTCTTTCTTTGTTTTTTTCATTATTGAACATGAGATGGGCAAACTTGTTCTATCATTTACTCCACATTGTGTTGCACAACCCCAGTTCTGAACCGTTATTCTGTGTAAGTTAATTGTCTCAGGCGTTTGTTACAGTAACATAAAGATGACCAACATAGGTGAATTCTCTGGAGCTTTGTATACAGCATTAGACAGTGGCCTCGGTGTGCCCCCTCTTGTCCTGTGGGAAGCCTGTGGTTGTATTCCCCGACACACCTAATATGTAGGTTTAAGATAGGGAAGTTAGAAATGCAAGTCGAATGTGGAACTGTCCAGGGTGTTTTCTTTCTGTGTTTATACATGTAGAGCACAGGA